TTAGATATAGATTAATCGTAAATAAAAAATTTGAGCTTGCTTATTACCACATACATCTTTACTTTTTCGCACTGAAATATCACGGGGAACATGGAAAATGAACCTTTCCTGTTTTGACCAGCAAATTTGTAAGATACTCAATAATTGTGATTAATACATGCGGTAATAGCTTCCTAAAAGCATTATGCAGGATATGATTAACGCGATTTTGTGTATGTTCAACAGGCGTGCAAATTTCAGGAAACGTAAGATAAAGCATACAAGGTAAAGATATGCTGTTTTTCTCTTATTTTGTATTGTCAGAGTCTTATGCCCCGGGAAAGCTTATATAACTGCTACAAGATGAGATATTGTTTCTAACTTGCTTAGATTTTCTAAACTGCTAAACAAATAATTGCGGTTTTTATTTTTTAAATCAACGGATAAATAGTTATATAATATTGTGGAATACTGGAAACTAATGGAATTGTTTAATTACTGAATAACTTAATTTTATTTCGTTTCTTATCCTAAGATCCCTTCGCCTGCTCCTTAAGACCCCTAGGGATAGGCGTACCCCTGGTTGAATACCACTCCTTTAGGTACATGCCATTTCTATGTAAAACTAACAATAATTATAATTATTGTTAGTGTGAATTTGCTAATTTAATTCTTTGTCTTTTTTTAAACAAAAAAAGAACAAAGAATTAAATTAGCAAATTTATCTAGTGCTCTACGACATAATTACCTTAACGTAAGCTCTACACAAACTTCACCTTCAATTAATGAAATGGATGCAAAATTAAACGGCATAAAAAGATCAATGTTCAATAGACTAAGGTCAATGTTTAATACACTTCATTTCGTATTTATTTAAATCACCACTAGGTACTTCTACTGTACGCCACTGATTTCACTCTGGAGGATTCTTATTTCGAATCGGGTTTTCAAAATATTTTCAGAACTTATTTTCACACGAAATAAAACAATAAAATAATGAATGAAATAAATAAACTAAAACATCAGTAGTATATAAAATTACTCCTTTAAATATTATTCGTTGCGTAAGTAGATAAAAACTGTATTGCGGTCATTGTGGTTGGGTAGATCCACAGATTAAGAAGACAGCCTTGAATAAATAAAACAGTGGCACAGCAGTCCCGGTCTACAATTTTTTAAAGGGTCATATGAATGCTAGTTCTCTTTTACATGGGCAACGGCAAGTTCAATATAATATAATAGACCAAGTATAGATGTACAAAATGCAAAAATTGACATAGTATGAGCAAATGCATTCTACCTATGCGAAACATGAAAGCAGACAAAAAAATCCACTTCTGGTAAGCAAAAGAAGATTTTATTAAAAGACATGTATGTATAGGGTATCCCAACTAGAAGATATGACGTCGTTAACGATTATTTCTAAACGGCAATCCCAGTTTTTTTTTTCAATTTTATTTTGGAAAGTATTACACACCACCACCAAATTTCAAACATACAAGGTGGCCAAATGAAAACGAAACACAGCCATTTTCAGGAACTACGTCAAGATTGTAGAAAAACGCTCTGACCCGTCGATTTTAGATTAAAGGGGGACATTGTTTGCTGGTATTTTTGACTCCGCCATTTACACCTCCAAGCAGGTAGGTAGGTAAGCATCACCCCAAAATATTTAAATGGCATTGGGGGTCGAGTAATATTTCTTTTGAAAACTGTTACAATTCTTTTTACAACATACTTTAAATTTTATAATTCCGCCCAATACTTATTAAGAATTTTGATTTTAAAGTTGAAACTTATGTACAAAGAATTAGTAACGGTAAAAATGTCAGTGATTCAAGTTAAGTACGCCAATGGTATAAATTTTACATTGTTACATTGGTTTTTGGCGATTTGTTATCACTTTCGTAAAAAAACACAATTGTAAAAAACAGAAATTAATGCTATACACACTCAATGAACGTAAAATTAATGGATTCCAAATTATTTTCTAGTATTATTTGGAAGCGTTGGTTGGTAGTTTATTTAATTGTGTTTTTGAAAATTAAACACTATGGTTTATTCCATTGCGGAAAGGGTAGATATCATTTCGCTTTACTTTATGAACAATAAATGTGCGAATAGAACAGCTCAGCTATTTAATGAACAACATCAAGATCGACATGTCAGGAGGAAGTATGTTCTAGAGTTAGTAAAAAAATTTCAAGAGACAGGGAACGTAGCCAATAAAAAACGAGAAATTGAAAAACCTATAGTTAATGAAGCTAGTGAAGTTGCAGTTTTGGGACAAGTTCATCTTGATCCTACATTAAGTACGAGGCAGCTGGCATCTGTGTCTGGGATCAATCGAACTAGCATACAAACCATTTTGAAGAAGAATAAATTCCATCCATACAAAATACATTTAGTCCAGGAACTTCATGAGGATGATTATGACCGCCGTTTGCAATTTTGCGAAATAATGAGTGAGCGAGCAGGGAACGATCCACAGTTCCTTTTTAACATCTGTTTTTCTGATGAATGCAGTTTTTTCTTGAACGGGACGGTAAATCGTCACAATTGCCGCTATTGGTCCGATTCAAACCCAAGAGTTTTTCACGAGGTGCATACACAGCAACCGGAAAAATTAAATGTATGGGCTGGAATTTTCGGTGACCGGCTGGTGGGTCCTTTTTTTCTACCTGGTAATTTGACTGGCCAAATGTATTTGCAATTACTGGAAGACGCTATTGACCCTGCCTTGACTGATATTATTGAAAATGTTCCAGAGTATGATGAAGATCATTTGATTTTTCAACAGGACGGTGCTCCTCCGCATTATGCGTTAATTGTCCGTCAGTATTTGGACCAACGTTTTCTACGGAATTGGATTGGGAGAAGAGGCAGCATTGAGTGGCCTCCACGATCACCGGATTTATCGCCCCTTGATTTCTTTTTGTGGGGATACCTAAAAAGTAAAATCTATAAAACACAGCCAGCGTCGCTGGAAGATTTGCGTCAAAGAATCGTCGACGAATGCCGTCGAATCACTCCGGAAATGCTTCGGAATGTGCGCGAACGTTTCGAACAAAATCTTTATTCTTGTATGGAAGCGGGCGGTCATCAGTTTGAACATTTAATCAACTAAGTAGTAAGTAAGCAACTAAACATAATTTAAATTTTAAAATGTAATTTTTTTTCAAGTATTTTGCGGAATTATATAATTTAAAGTCTGTTATAAAGAGAATTGTAAGAGCTTTCAAAAAAAATAATATTACTCAACCCCCAATGCCATTTAAATATTTTGAGGTGATGCTTACCCTTGCTTGGGGGGTGAAAGTGGCAAAAATACCAACAAAGAATGTCCCCCTTTAATCTAAAATCGACGGGTCTGGGCGTTTTTCTACAATCTTGACGCAGTTCCTGAAAATGGCTCTGTTTCGTTTTCATTTGGCCACTCTGTATATTCCTAATCGTTGTCAAGACAAAGCAAGTTAAAAATTATTCTTTTATCCATCTTTATTTTTTTTATTTAATTTGCATTATTCAATTAATATAGTTTCAATTTAGTATTTGGTAAGAAATCAATATAAAACTATAGTAAACACATCGAACAAGACTAAAACTATGAGTTTGAAACCAAATTAATTTTATAACTCACTTTTTAAAAAATATTAAATAATAATCTTTCACTTGGTGTATCTTGGGTGCGACTAGGAATAACTTTACACGCCCTTCAAAGAAAAAGTACAAAAAACATTTTCTTTTTAAACAATTTTGTTTTTGACGTACGGAATTTATATTAGTGACTCGCAATGTAAAATTAAACTATTTTTCAATTATTTTAATAATGTCAAATGCTAATAGAGACCTATTAATGAATGTTTCTACTCTTCAGTGACCATGAGCTACCACAAGATGAGTTCTAAAGTAAACAGAGTAAGTAGTGAGGCCTTCTATTGGCCTTCACTGATGTACTATCAAAATTTCATGACATTTGGATGAATAGAAGCGGAATTATTGGATCTGAAGTCACAGTATGTTTGTGTCATCGTTACAAAAATGAGCATCAAACAAAGTTTTGTTTTAAACTTGGTAAAACTTTTACCAAAACGTTTCAATTGATGAACCAAGTGATGATTTTTTCTCCCGTGGCAGAGTTCATGAGCGGTATACGCGGTATAAAAACAATCGTGAGGACATAAATGGTAAGCAACATGTTGACTAGTCGAAATCCGTGATCACCACAGATTCCATCAAAACTGTGGGTAAATTCATCAAAGATCAGACAAAATCTTCATAGAAATTCATAGAATCAAAAGATCCCAAAAACATTAATTTATCGCATTTTGGCAGAACATTTGGGCTACCGAAACGTGTGTGTGTTCTGGATAAGTTGACTGACGACCAAAAATTGCTCAGAATTCAACATTCAAATGATATCATCAAGGAGGCCAAAAAGGACATAAACTTCCTTTACAACATGACTGGTGATGAAACGTAGTGTTTTCAATACGATCCAGAAACCAAGCGCCAAAGTGCCGAGTGAAAGGTGCCAGATGGACCAAAACCCAAACAATTGGAGAAGTCGAAAGTGAGGACAATATTGATTTGCTTTTACGTTTCATGGCGTTTTGAAACGTTTGGACGTATTTCGCCAGAATATCGCGCAGAAGGAAGTTGGCGTTTGTTGTACGATAATGTACCATCTCATCAATCGACACTTTTGACTAAAAACCGCATTTTAACTGTCAACCATTCCACATATTCGCCTGAAAGCGTTTTGTGGATGTAGGAGTCATCCAAAAGGCTTGTACCGACATCCTGAAGGGTACTCATTCGAAAGGGGACTATTTTGAATAAAATAAATCGGTTTTGTCAAACACTCATAGATTGAACAAACAATAATGTATCGTATGGTATATGATGTATCAATATTAACAAACTATGTTATAAATACAGCACGCCTTTGGCAAACTACACCAAGTAATTTATCAGTATAATCCTATAAAAAAACACGATAAAAGTAAACCTGTTCTTACCTGTTTTATTCTCCAAGTTGGACGGTGAATACAAGATATTGCGAATGGTCTTCAATTAAGATTCTGTAAAAAAAAAACGAGATACCAATTAGGTAATGTTTATTCACAACAAAAATATAGTTAAAACGATTAGTATTGTGTGTATAAAATTGCAGTCAGGTTATGTATTATCTTTTATTACGCTTATATTTTATATTCTAGAAATATAAAGTCAAATTTATTCTTTATTATTAATAATTCAAAAGGATGTTATGAAGTATTTTTAAATATCGCACAACAATATGTAGATATGTACATTTTCAAACGATTCCGATTTACTAAAAAATAAAATTATCAACATTGTTATCAATTATTATGCTGTGCTAGCAAAAAATATATTTAATATTCGTTTGTTTTTGAAGATTTAAAAATAGTTTAGAAAACATGTTTTTTAGTCGAATAATAATTAGAAGGACGTTCAAATTTTATTTGGAATCTATTAACTAAACTGACACCGAGACTGACACTGACACCGTAAGAGACGTATTGAAGCATTGTATATCTATTTTTATTCCTAAAAGAATATTTTGCACCTCTTTACATACGGTATTACGATAATATTTACTAACAGATTCTAAATACGAGTAAAATATTAAAACTGTTACTTAAACAATATTTTCAAAAAATAACTCGAAGTTTTACAATTGCAGACCAAACAAAACAGTTTATTTCACATTTTTAATTCACAACAAAAATTTGTATTAGACAAAAATGGACCAAATTCATGCCGATTTTTAAATAAAGTAGGTATAATAAAAAACTATGTGTTTGATGTATATTCCCATGATCCCATGTGGAATTAACTGCTTGTTTTCTTACAATTAAAATATTCCCAGGACATTCATGCAGAGGTCAATAGGGAGATTTGCTTAAAAAAGTGATTAATATATTCAGAACCTTTTTAATTATGACAATTTAAGTAGACGAACATATAAAATGTAAGTTAGTTCACATCACACTGACAACATCTACAAAGCACTTAACTGGAGACTTAACCTTTGTGATGCATATCATAACATTTTTTTTATTATTTCTACCACAATGGTAAAAGAAATTTTAAATAAATAATTCCTAGTGCCAAATGGAACGGTCAATGTGTCGATTTTATAAATTTAGTTTTGCTTAAACATTACATATATTTCACATTGTGATTAAATAAAACTGAAATTTAAAATCAACCGCTTGATTGATTCTTTTGGCGCAAGGGTTTATTTATTTAATGGCTTTTCTCTTCGGTTAGGAAATATAAAATTAAAAAAAATTAATAAAAATATCACAAATAAGTAACTGCTGCAAACGGTGAGGAGAAACTAGTTACAATTTAGTGATTTCTACATTTAAATAAATTGTGGATAAAACCTAGCAGAGACCACAAGCAAGATATGTATGTACACGGGGCATCCATTTTTTTACATTTTTGCAATACATTCACGGACAACTACAAAAATTGTACGGGTTGTATTAATTTTGATATCCTTGTGGAATTTTTCTTATAATTAGTCTCGTAAAGATAGAAAAAAAAATAGATTATATGTTTTTGATCAAATATTTTAGAAAACATTTTTGAATTTTTCTGAATTAGATTAATACATTTAAAATAAGGTAAAAAATACAGAGGCAGTAATAAAATATACGTTGAAAAAAAAATCTCAATGAAATTTTCTGCTAATTTGAAAATTCGAAGAATATGTATATGTATAATCACGTCGCTGTTGTATTCTACTCTTGATTCTACTCAAAGAAATGTACAGGGTGATTCACTATATTTTGACCCGTAAGGATTTAGATTTAGTTGTAATATATTTTGACATTGATATAGTCCAAAATGCGAATAGGTATTTTAACTAAATCTCACTAATTAGGCCGTGACAGCGACAGGTAATGTTATGACAACATTGTTATTGGTTGACAGTTTGTATTATTACTTAATTAAAATAACTTACACAGAAATAGAAAATTGAAATATTACAGGACTTAAAATAGAGTAAGTTATTCGCCATACTATACTTCTGTGTAACCTATTTTAATTAAATAATAATACAAACTGTCAATCAATAACAATGATATCATGGCATTATTGCCTGTCACTGTCACGACCTACCATATAACATTGTCTATGAATAAATAGGTCTCTCACGGCCTAATTAGTGAGATTTAGTTAAAATACCTATACGCATTGATACGGTCCAACCGTATCAATATGCGATGTCAAAATATTACAACTAAATCTGTAAATCGTTACGTAATTGGAAAAAAGGTATCAATGCCTGAAAGAGGTCTAACAATTACAAAATTTTCTTAATAAAAAACCTTTTCATTTTTTAATATTATCTCGCTTATTGTTAAAGGTGGACCTAACAAACCATATATGGCTATGCTCGACAGGGCATGTTCTATCCAAGTATGTAAAAATATACAGGGTGTTCCATTTAAATTAACAAAATTAACATCCGCGGACAATTTGTTTGGACTTCATTTGTTTTTCTACTATCATTTTCGAAAAATTCAAAAAAAAATCGTGCAACTTTTGTATTTCGCATTTTTTTTATAATTCTTAAAACATAAAAGTTAAAGGGGGGGGCTCAAAAAATATAGTGTTTAAAAAAAAATCTCAAGGATCTCTGCTAATATTTGAAAATTCGAAGAATATATAGGACGTCCATTTAAAAATTATATATAAACACGTCGCTATTGTAATCTACTCTCGATTATACCCAAAGAAATGTACAACAATCACTAAAGAAGTTAAATATTTTCACAATCAAAAAAGTAATGAGTGGGTATAATAGAAAACGGTCGAAATTCTCCAATACGCTAAACTGCTTTTCTATATCTTTCCAAAAATTAGAGGAAACCTGCAAAAATTGTCGAAATTGGTCCACTCTGTAGATTTATACAAGTATGAAATATTTCCATAGATAAACCATAATAAACATTAAATTTATGATAGTAGTATTAAAAATTATTGCTAAGATATTTTCTATATCTGATCAATAAATATTCCATGAAAAATTCTTACATTGGGTTCTAAGTAACATTTTTTTTCGAAACTACTTTGTTGGCTTCTTACTAAAGACTGTAGAAATTTGAATATACTATTTTTATTTCCCTTCATAGCACAAAATTATTACTTATTAGGGCATAAAGGTTGTATGTATAAAACACGCTCTGAAAACGGTATTTTGCACACGCCGTGTGCTAAACATTTTCTCGCGTCTCCAGATTGTGATTTTTGTTTGATGCTGTCACCCAAATTATGCAATGTTTCAAGTTGGCTGAGTTTCATAGCAACCGTCACGGCTCCTTTATTTTGTTGATTAGATACTTCAAAAATTGTTGAATTCCCGAAGTTTGGGTGTGAAAATGTGTGATGCTGAAGAGATTTTACAGAAAGCAAGCGAAATATGTTCGGAACTGCTGCCCACAAAATCCAGAAGCAGATATGAAGCTGAGTTAAGCCGATTTATGGACTGGCGACTAGCCAAAAATGTCCAAACTTTCTCAGAAAACGCAGTAATGGTGTATTTTGAAGAACTATCTACGAAATATAAATCTTCGACGTTGTAGACGATTTTTCGATGTCAACGTTAAGTGCCAATCACAACATAGATCTTGGAAGCTATAAAAAGTTGCAAGCGCTAATCAAACGAAAATCCGAAAACTACGTCCCAAAGAAGTCCCTAATCCTCACAGAAGATGATTTTTGCTGGTTTTTGACGAAAGTATCAGACAACAAATATTTACTTATGAAGACGGTGGTGGCAGTTGGACTATCTGGGGCATGTCGAAGGGAGGAATTATGTTATCTCAAAATAAAAGACACCAAAGATTTCGGCAGTGCTATGCTGATTAAACTGAAGAATACAAAAACAAAGGTAACAAGGTGTTTTACAATAACAGGAAACTATTACACTATCTTAAAAAAGTACTGTGCTCTTCGTCCTCCTAATCTGAAGACAGGCAGTTTTTTTTTAAACTATCAAAACGGAAAATGTTCAAGCCAAAACGTTGGCATCAACAAAATTGGAAATATTGCTAGGGAAATCGCCAAGTTTTTGATGCTAGCGAATCGAGAAAGTTACACGGGACATTGTTTTCGGCGTTCATCGGCCACAATTTTAGTCGATTGTGGCTCAAATCTGCTTGCCCTCAAACGCCATGGAGGGTGGAAATTCAGTACAGTTGCCGAAGGCTACGTTGATGACTGTTTGAGAAATAAAAAATGGAAGTTTCGAAAAAGATAGTCTCCAGTGTCTTCTGCTGCCACAGAACCAAAACAACGATAGTCTACTGGAACACAACGCTGAAAAACTGCACTAAAAACACGACACCAAAAATATTTCTATTACCGAAAACAAGGTGCACAATAATACTGCTTTTCCCAGCGTAACCTTGAAGGAATGTTCAAATGTTACCATAAATATTAAATATTAGTTTCTTTTGTTAATGCGTTAGCAATTTTCTTAATAAAAACGAGTTAAATTAAAAGTTGTATTTAATTTATTTTGTTAATGCGTTGGCAATTTTAGTAACAAAAACGATTTAAATTAAAATTTGATTTTTGTGGTCTCTATTTGCAGTCGTATAAAAAGTATCGTAAAAAACTCGTTTGAAAACCTCTTTGCACACTCCCTCGACTTGTGGACCTCGCCTTCGGCTCGGTCCACCAATATGTCTCGCTCGTGTGCAAAGAGTCGTTTTCAAACCTTATTTAATATACTATTACCTCATTAATAACGTTTATTTTAAATAAGTAATTGTCAGATGGCAAAAGTGACAGTTTCAGTATAAAATAACAAGTAATTGTCAGTACATTTGGGTACATTTCAAAGGTTTATTTTTGGGCTAAGAAAAGATAACAACGATATTGAACTTGTCCTTTCGTTCCTAAATTACGAATGATAACACGTAAATTCGCTAATAAATATGTTGAATCCAAAATCGAGCCTTGCCTCTATCCTTTATCAGGGTCACTGCCAGTGCCAAGGATTGCAGATAACCGGCGCGTCTGATGAAACATCGGG